CCGAGACGAGTGTCTCGGGGCGACTTCCTTTGAAATGGGTTTTTGAAGGACAGTACCGGACGGCACGGGTGTGCCGGTATTGCGCCCTAGCCCGCGTGTCGGAGGTTGCTACATACACCCGCTATCCGGTACGTTTTCCGCAAATGACTCGGCATGGGCACGGGAGGGCCTATGCCTCGATAGAACCCGGATGGATGGATGTTCGGGAAGTCCCGATGAGATGAACGACACGTGGGCCCATTCTCGATGGCATGACCAAACGAGTTATGATGAGCGACGACATCCCGAGACTCGGGATGGCGTCAAGACATATGGACCCTGTCGATGGGGATCGAGGTGGCAAGATGAGATGCGACGTTGTATTGAGAGACCTTGGCCCGAGTAGAGGCAAGGTCGAGCCGAATGGGTTGGCCTGGCGTAGAGGCAAGTCGGATGTGTCGCAGATGATTGAACATACACGCACAGGCAGCGTGTGTGGTTGAACAAGCTTGGATTCCGCACAAGCGATGTTCGATTGGCGAAGGCAAACCTTGCCTAAGGTCCGACGAAGCCACAAAGCCGGGGTGAAAAATATAATGGGGCTTAATTCCCCTTAAGGCTGGTCGTGAGCGTGTATTGATCACGACGCCGCACGGTCAAGAATGTAGGACTGTGTCACCCTGCACGTGGAACCCGCGCGTAGGGAAGTGTGCAGGCACGTGGGTGTCCCCTATGAGCGCATGCAGGCGCGTGAGTGCCCTGTTTTCACCCGTTTTTCGTTTCGATTCCAGTGGTAATCCTATTTTACTGTGAACTAGGTCTCTGTATAGATAAATCGTAATTTTTGGACTTCGATACGACTGTAATCAAGCTCAGGAAGGCACGCGACATACTGTAAGTAACCATACGGATTTAGGAAGTAATACTTGTAGGGTGCACTTGGTTTTGCATGCATGCTAGAGCAGATTACCCGTAGGTGGCTACATCTAATGATCCTCTATACTTAGGAAGTTGAATATATATTTGTTGGACTTGCTGCCTTTATGAGATTTTGTGCTCAATATTTGTTTGCTTGTTGGACTATCTATCTACTGCGTTTATCTGTTCATTCTATGTTAGTGGACTCGAGGATTTATGTATCTGTGCTCCAGGTGTTGATAGATGATGTCGCCCCGTTGAGCTTGTATGACTGTATTTGTTGTTATTCATACATAAACTCCTCTTGAATGATTGTATGAACTTATGATATGGTTGATAAGTTGTAGTGTTGTGTTTTGCCTATGGTGAACTCTAGTAGTTATCAAGTGGGGTTTAGATAGGGGACCCTCCTGACGATACGGTCCATGTTGTCGTGAGTGACGCTTAGAGGGAGAGACCCTTTAATCCTGGACTGTTATGGATTTGTAAGCCTTGATTGAGTGATTCTAGAATCTAGGGCCTCTAACTCAATAATCTACCTACCCTTGAGACAAAAAGAACCACGTTAGGACCTTGAGGTGTAGAGAGAGAACCTCTTAGCCGACCATAGCTGGTATAGCGTTTGAGTATACTCCACTTCCCTTCCTATTCCAGTGTGGTACTGTTGAACTAGGTGAGACGCCAGTTAGGGAGGTGCTACTCTTCCCTTCCTACTCCGGTGTGGTACTGTTGAGCTTGGCGAGACGCCTGTTAGGGAAGTGTTACTCAGTGGTAGATCGACTACTCTGCATGGGGATCCGTCTTATGGTTAGATGTTGATCATGCGAGTAAGTCAAGGTGGGTTGTACGAGGGGTACATGTAGTTATGAGGGAGCACCTCATCTTCAAACGTTGAATACCGCTACAAAGGTTAAGTCCTTCTACCCCGATCTGTGAACTTAGAGCATTGAGACTTTAGAGTCTAGAGTATAGTTGGTGGTTCTCTCTTAAACTTGGATGCGATTAAAAGCCTACAAGTAGATTGCTTACTGAATATATTTTTATACTCACCTCGTTTCCCTCTTTTTTTTCTCAGGTCTGTGAATTTACACTTCGTGGCAAAAGGGGTGTTTGGGAGCTTGAAAGTCACAGAGGAATTGTCGTCCCGGGGCGTCTGTCTAGTTTACCTTTGTGTACTTGGCATTTATTTCATCATGTACCCCGATCTTTTTTCTTTTCCATTTTATACAATGTAACTCTTTTCTACTTGAACGCTTTAATACTCGCGACGAAATTTTATACTTGAAATTTTTGCATTTCGTTTTTCTTCTACTTTCATGCATTGCATAGTTTGTCGAGTCACTCCTGGTAATTTCGATGCATCGTAATTCTGGGTTGTGACATTTATATTAGTAATCAAATGAATAAATTAAAAATAGAATGGCCAAGAAAATTTGTGAACAAAAGGAAACACTGAGATAAGAAAGACTTGGAAACAGGAATCCCCTAGAAATTTATAATACCCGGAACAAAATTAAAAGGGCAACATAGTAAGTACAAATAAAAAAAAAAAAGATTCAAGAATTAAAAACCATAAAAACTAAATAGGGAGAGAAAAGTAAATACAGTGAGCACTAAAAAGCAGAATAACTTTCATTAACGATATATTCGTGACAACGACTTAAGCTAACCAGGTAAGTGGTCTTACTATCGGTATGGTTATATTTGATGTTGACACGTACCTGTAGTTCTGCACGTGTCATATATACTGATATGTGTGAATTATCTATGAATCGATATGCTTATATTAGGTTTATGCTATGTTATAATATGTGGATTGTATGATAATAATTATGGTATCCAATGGTAGAACAACGATCGTTATGTTTTGCATAGCGCTATCGTGACGGTTACTAGTTCTAACGGGTGTCCGGCCTAAGGAGCTACTCAAGCCTCGTGCTACTGTATTTTTCAGATAAGGCAAGACATTCCTGTACGGCTGACGATAACACCGCAACTCGAGACTATGGCACATGCATAGGATAGTGGTATTTATTTTCTTAGACTTAGGCTAGAATAGGATGTTTTTAACTTAAAGGCTTATTTATTTTATTTAGTCTCTTGTTGTGTCGTTTTAAAGATGTTTTTGAAACACGTAAGTCCATGATTGTGTTTTAAAATAAAGATTATGTTTTATGGAATTTAAATGAAGTCTTCTACATTCAATATTTATGATATGTATACAGTGACAACCTTAAATTAAGTAGAAAATTTCAGGTCGTTACACAGGGTGTCTTATTTATAGGGACTCTTGGAGAATTTTTCCTAAATAATATATTTGCATATTTAATATATTAGAATATAATACCTTAGTACCAATTATATTTAGATATTATAAAATATCCTAATATATATTTAATTAATTTGAATATCCTTCTAATTTCAAATATATTTTTATTTAATATATCAAAATACAATAATTGATTTAATATTTAATTATATCAAGTACAATAAATATATTTTTTCTTTTTAATATATATAATATATTAAATATTAATTTGAACTCTTCCCATTAATATATTTTTCTCCATTTATATTTAACGTATCTAATATATTAAATATTAATTTGAACCATCCAACTAAATATATTTTCTCTATTTATTTAATATATTTCATATATTAAATATTAATTTGACATTTTCAATTAAATTTATTTTCTCTATTTATTTAACCTATCTCAAGACATTTCAAATTAAATTTATTTTTTCTTTTATATTTAATATATCTAATATATTAAATATCAATTTGAATACTTCAAATTTTCTTTTAAATAAATTGAACTACTTTGAGCTTTCAAGTAGACCTGATAAGATAAGCAATCAATACAAGAGGAATAAGATTCGGATTATCTTGTTGATCGAATATCTCAAGACAAGAACATTGTTTGAGATTCGAATCACTCCACAAGCAAAATCGATCATGTCTAGCTTGAATGATTCTTGTTGATCAAATATCTCAACGCAAGAACACTTTATTGAGATTCGAATCACTCCACAAGCAAGATTGATCATGTCGAGCTTGAATGATTCTACATGCAACCTAAACTACATAGAATTGCAAAGAAACTTAACCATTGGCTAAAGAAAAGCACAAATGCTTCTTTTAATATATTTTTCAAGTCTACGTTACAAATACAACATACATGGTTTTATATAGCCTCAAAATGAAACTAGCATTCCAAGAGTTGTAACATTTATACTTAAGGACCATAATTAGCCATTTATGTAAATGTAACCTAAAATAAATAAAATGTTTTAAAATACAATAACTCTAAATTACTCTAACCCACCCAAAATTTGTAACCATCAAACTTCATTCTTCTTCAATATGGCATGAATTGAAACATCTTTTGATAATTTCAACAATATTTTCTTCAGATCTTCATTGAAGTATATTATATGATTGATGTCTCTTGATTCATATCATTCTCCACTTCTTCAAGAGGATTCGTCCTCGAATCTATTTGTGAAACTTTGCTGCAAAAAATAAGTTATGGAAATACAAAGGACCTCACAACACTCTCTCACGAGTATACACTCAAGAAATTTTAGGCCACTCTTTTTAGACTCATTTACACAAATGAAGCTTTCATTCTCACCTCTCAAAATTTTAAATAGAGCAAAGATTCGATCTTGAACTCTGGGTCGATTAAAAACTAAAAAGATAAAAATAAATAAAAATTAAATTAAACGCAAAGGAAACATATATCCGATCTTGAGCCTGAAGCTCTGATACCAAATGATATGTGGAAATCACTACAAGGGGAGTAAGATTCGGATTACCTTGTTGATCGAATATCTCAAGACAAGAACATTGTTTGAGATTCGAATCACTCCACAAGCAAGATCGATCATGTCTAGCTTGAATGATTCTTGTTGATCAAATATCTCAATGTAAGAACACTTGATTGAGATTCGAATCACTCCACAAGCAATATTGATCATGTCGAGCTTGAATGATTCTACATGCAACCTAAACTACATAGAATTGCAAAGAAACTTAGCCATTGGCTAAAGAAAAGCACAAATGCTTCTTTTAATATGTTTTTCAAGTCTACGTTACAAATACAACATACATGGCTTTATATAGCCTCAAAATGAAACTATTAAAGGCATTCCAAAAGTTGTAACATTCATACTTAATGACCATAATTAGCCATTATGTAAATGTAACCTAAAATAAATAAAATGTCTTAAAATATAATAACTCTAAATTACTCTAAACGGTAACTCACCCAAAATTTGTAACAATCAAACTTCATTCTTCTTCAATGTGGCATGAATTGAAACATCTTTTGATAATTTCAACAATATTTTCTTCAGATCTTCATTGAAGTATATTGTATGATTGATGTCTCTTGGTTCATATCAAGACCTTATGGACCTACCGATTATAAGCTATAATGATATAAAATTAATTAATTAAACTCTTTAATTAATCAAGTTCCATTCATTAACTATAGGTCACTCCAATATAGACCTAGAGTTGTACTCTTATACACTATAGGACAAGTTATGTCCATTGATACAATCATTACAAGCAAGTCGATCCTTCACGAGGTGTTCATTATTACAATTAGGTCAAAAGTCCGTTTTACCCCTGTAATTACATCTTTCACCTTAAGTATCACTGATTCTCGAATGAACAATTTGTTTATGATCCAATCATAAACCAAGTCCCTCTCGGGCCAATGAGAGGATGGGGCACTATTGTTCAAGTCCCCAAATCAGTACTTAAGAGAACAACTCATCTACTTTCCTTATATGGAAAGGAGTGAATTCCATCTCATGATATTATATTCTCAACTCCCTATTTGGTCAAGTCCCCAAAATGGCATATTGAATCGGCTAAAAGAGCCATTCTCACCCATGTAAATTAAAGGACAAGCCCTCACAAGCAGAAGTTCATAACTCACTCAAGATTAAGATTGAGTCGCATATAATCATCATATGAAATATTAATCTTCTCAAATTACGGATTTATAAAGAATGATTAAATATTTCTTGGTCCAGACTTATACAAACTCATTGTATAGGATACCCCCACTTACATGTCTCCACAGGAACAATTTGGATCAAATCATTTGTAAGGATTACAAAGTGGGTCGTATCAATAGTGTTACTAGGACAAGGAACCCAACATTATCCATCTACTATAGACTCTTTAGGTTATTACTTGAACACAATCATATTGTATGTCAACCACATACTGTTCAAGATTACATTAATAACCTTAGATTTTCATACCATGGATAGCAATTAAATTACCAATAAAATAATAAAAATTATTATTAAAAACTAAATAATTAATTACGAGGCTTTAGTGCATAAATCCGAACAATCTCCACTTGCATTAAAGTTGGTGAGACATGTGTCCTAGGGCATACCCTACACCCAACATGTTCTCCCACTTGCCTAGAGAGCCATTTTATATAAATCAAAATAATTATCATTAAAAGTCATCTTGGTCATTACCACCATGCTTTCTCTCTCAATATCAAATCTTTAACTCCATACACAAAATAAAAAAATTCTCATTATCCATCGATAGTTTGAGAAAACTTTAATTTTTCATTTAATGGTCACACCATTAGTTTAACTAATATATTCTAACTAACAGTATATTAAACGTTAATTCTCATCTATGCATTAATTGTCTCCCACTCAGGAAACATAATTAATGATACTCTCAACATTTGAGGTTACTTAGGATACTATTTCTTTTACTTCATAATTCAATAGATCATAATCATTCTTTCAAGTCTTGGATCAAATATTTGACAACAATTTTGTCAATATAATATACATGACACAATATTAACGTTTATCTTTAAATCTTTATTTTTAGAACTGACAGAATTATTCCAAATCTTTATTTTCAGATAGTCATATATATTTATGTTTGATTGAAAAATTACCTCATTCATAATGAGTAATATGTCATTAACATAAAAAAAATAATATCGAGAAAATCCACTAATCAATTAGTAATTTTCTTGTTTTCACAAGCTCATTACAATTTATTAAAATCATAGGTCATCAAACCTTCAAAAATGAATTTTACTCCTTTAGCAAACCTATAATAATATGGGTAGATGCATCCTCTTAGATTTCTTTTCACAAAAGAATTCTAAATATTCATTTAACATATTTCATATAAAA